AGAAAAAGTACCTTCCATTACTGAAAAGTGTTTAGTGTAAGTATGGTGTGCATCCTTTCAACTGAAGTCCAATCATGGGATATGTTGTTAAATGATTTTTGGATATATTAATTTGCTAGACTGTCACTTTCCTATCTCCTCAATCAAGTTATTTTAATTAAAAATAACATTAAAGTATTTACACTCTAGGACTGCCATAATTGTACTGGCAAGAAAGCCCATCCAAATTAAAATTGACCTCCTTCAAAGGCCAAAGTACCTGTTACCTGAAAAGCTGAAGCCAAACATAAAAAGTGTAACCTGCACTTTTACAGTAGTCTTTCACAGCCCATGTGAAAATAAGCTAGTATTCTCACCTCCGAAGCAAATAAGAGAAGGTGAAATTTACTGAAAGATAGTTTTACTCCTTTCTAAAATTGGAAACACAAAGTGGAAGGTTAATAAGAAGAAAACCCTCTGAAGCTAGTGGTTAGGCTAACATTTAGCCTCCCAACTGAGGAAGGATGAAGGAGCTGAGCCAAAACAATCACAAAGAAACCAATCAGATCACTGTAGGCATTCTTGTTTTCAAAGTTGGTAGGAAATGGTTTTCTAAGAAAAATTGAATTGATGTTCTTTCTTTCCCTTTAGGAGCCAGTTTTCTGATCTCCAGTTAAGATGATAAACCTTTACTGGACTCTAATTTCTGGTCTGCAACTCAACAGTATTTTTATATATGTTGTCAGATTCTATTTCTGCTGTACAACTACATAGCAGGAGGGATGGCAGTTACTTAAAATGTCAATTTCTTGTGTTTGTTTTTCCTTTAAGGTATATTAGATTGTTGTTGTTGTTGTTGTTGTTGTTTTGCAAAAGAATGTTAGTATTTGTTTATAGGGTAGATTTATCATATGCAAGCTCTACATTTAGCATGGCTCTCAATATTACATGGAATTTGAGATTAAAAGAGCACAGTAGGTTGCAGAGTAATTTTTTAAAATTTAATTTCTCTTTGAAGTGAAATAAAATTGTCAATGCAGTAAAACTCTATGGAACAAAAAAATACTGAGTCTTTCATGCACAATGTAGTGATGTTTCATTGGTGGCAATTTACTTCTTTTGTCAAATTCTCTGTTTTATAAAACATGATTGTGGAATAACAGATAGTGGGGAGATAATCTGGATTACATTGTGAATGGCAAGGGAATAGGTCGATTTCTTTGTAAAAATGCTTCCTAGCACTGTAACAGGCAACTTGGATTTGCCTTGTGAAATAAAATAAACAATTTACTAGTCTTAGACGTTTTGAGTGTGTTCTCACAATGTATTGTATAGAATATTTCTCCTTTTTGAACAATGTAGAAGTCAGATGAAACTAAATGGCTCATTTTCATGAACCTGAATATGATTGGCACACTTTCCTCTTCTAATAAGTTTGTGCCTTCTAAAAATTTTTTTACAAACAGAAATTTAACAGCCCAATTTTCTCTAACTTAGGTATTAATGGAGAAGGTGGCACTTGTTGCATGTCTTACTATCATGCATCTGTCAAAAGACACAGGCCTGTTTTTACACCAGTGTTTGTATACATGCATGTGTGTGTGTGTATATACCTCTACTTGAGATATATGACACATTTTGATAATTTCAATCTAATTTTAATTTGCCAGTTTAATTTCAAAATTGTGTGATTTTCATTGTAGCAGATTAGATTAAATACCTTGGGTTGTAAATCTAGAAGTGCCTTCCCTTCTTGCATGCTTTGTTTCTGTGTTCATTGATACTAAAAAAACCCCAAAAAAACCCACCCGAGTTTCCACAGTTATTCCAGAATTATCTCTAGCTGTTCATTATTCTTAAAAGAACAAGGTGCAGAGAGAGCACAATTCCCTTATTGCAGCAGCTCCATTGGCTGCCGGTCCGTTTCCAGGCACAATTCAGAGTGCTGGTTTTGACCTATAAAACCCTATATGGCTTGGGTTCAGATTATTTGAAGGACCATATCACTGTTTATGAGCTCTAAGATCTTCTAGAGAGGCTCTTCTCTCTGTCCCACCACCTTCTCAGGCTCTTTTGGTAGGAGCAAGAGAGAGGGCCTTTTCAGTGGCTGCTCCCAAGCTCTGGAATCACTCTCTAGAGCAGGGGTTGGCAACCTATGGCCCATGGGCCAGTTCCATCCCGGGGCCCCGCGCTTACCGGCCCCCTCTGCCATGAGTTTTGGCCGCCGCGCGCATCGCAACTGCCATTATGTTTTCCAAAATGGTGGCTGTGACGCGTTTGCGCATGTGCAGGACGCAAACGCGTCATGGCAGCCATTTTGGAAAACAAAATGGCGGCGGCGACGTGCGCGGCGGTGGCTGCGCACGCGGCGATGGGCGTGCGCGTGCCGGCATTTCCCCCCCTGGCCCGCTGGAACGGAACTATTCTGTGGACCGGCCCCCGCCTAAAAAAGGTTGCCTACCCCTGCTCTAGAGGGTCCAGGATGACTCCATTTCAGCGACAGGTGAAAATATTTTTGTGTCATCAGGCTTTTTAACCTGATGAAGATTGTGCTTTTAAATGTTGTGCAAGTCAGAGTAAGGTTTTATATAATTTTTAAATACATTTAAATATTTTAATGCATAATTGATTTAACTTTTTGAATGGTTTAATTGTTCTTAAAATTTTATACTTACACTTTAAATTGTACTTTTAAAAATTTGTTTGTAGCTGGCTTAACTCCCTATACTGGGAGAAATAATAATAATAGTAGTAGTAGTAGTAGTTGTTGTTGTTGTTCAAGGAGGCTTACAAGTTCCTTAGAACAGTAAAAACGAATATTAAACGATATACTAACAGAAACACCTCTCAAAACAGAACTAAAATTTGGAAGCAGTTGCACAGCATTGTATAAAGTGCAAACTGAAGCATGTGCCTTACTGGAGATCATGTGGCAACGTACTCCATAGACTTGGAACCATAAAGGCCTTGTACTTTTTTGTGCTTCAGTTTTCAGAAGGAGAGCAGAGGAAGCCAAAGTACTTAGAATCATAGAATCATAGAGTTGGAAGAGACCACAA